TTTAAAAGAATTTTTTATCTTGAATTTGTTTTGGAATAGTATCTTGGTTTGTTTTACCAGTGGAATTTTTATTGAAGAGTATAAATTACAATGCTTAATTATAGTGAATGGTGTTTGGGCCAACTGGGGAAGCTGGGGGGCATGCTCCCAGACTTGTGGTCCAGGAACGCAGTCACGAACCCGCACTTGCACAAATCCTTCTCCTCAAGGAAATGGTGCCACTTGTGCAGGATCTTCAACATCGTCCCAAAGTTGTAATGTCATGGTCTGCATACGTAAGTGTTTCTGGTTAACGCCTTAATTTCAAATTTTCCTTAGTTAAGATATTGAAAGACTTGGAAGTCTCTTCTACTTTTAAATGAATTAAGACTTTTTCACACTACACATGTTTTATATAGCTGATATTGATGGTGGATGGGGATCTTGGTCGTCCTATAGCGCATGCCCAGTAACATGCGGTAACGGAGATAGAGTGCGCACCCGTCAATGTAACAATCCAGCTCAGTCAGGAAAAGGCGCAGATTGTCCGGGTCCTTCGTCTGATGTTTTAGTCTGCTCTCTGTCCCCCTGCGCTATCGGTGAGTATATTTACCATTAATCAAAATAAAAAAAATTGTTATTGTTCTGTTGAATTGAACACATATTGGTATGGATTACATTAATATCAGATGGAAAATGGGCCACTTGGTCCTCCTGGTCTTCTTGTACCAAGTCTTGTTCCGGTGGAAAGGAAGTGCGCTCCAGAACTTGTACCAATCCGGCTACCAACTATGGCGGCAAAGATTGCTCAGGAGACACCTCAGAAGAGAGAGCCTGTAACACGCATGCCTGCTCGGGTACTGTTTCTATCAATCTACAACACTGTATATCTTTCATCCAAAAAAAGAAGAAGCAATATGTATAACACATTTAATTGAACGTGAAGACATTGGCAGAGAATAATGAAGACAAATATAAGTAATGTAAATATTTTCCTACTTGTAGTTTGTAGCACAGGTGAATACCTCTGCAATGACGGTTCCTGTAAAATGGGAACGCGCTGTAATGGAGTCAATGATTGTGATGATGCTAGCGACGAAGATTCCTGCTCTAACTCCGTGCTGAGGATGTCTCAGGGATATGTAAATAACGACCTCACCCGGCCCGGCAATACCGACGAGGAAGACAGTGGAGCGACATCATTCGGTAAACAGTTCATAAAATGATAAACATACACATAAAAATGCAGAAAAAATAATTGCCATTATGCTTGTTAAAGAAGTGTTGGACTTCTTCCGTCGGAATAAAAAGTAAAGATACTTGCTAACTGTTCTTTGATTTCTTTGTACGATTCACCAATCCCATAATTAATCAATGTTTCCCAATCTTCCCTTTCAGGCGTCTCCGTGCTCTTGATAGTCGGTCTTCTCTCAGCCATCTTTGCTCTTCGTGTGTGATAAACAGTGGAAATCGACGACAATCCGCAGTTCTTCTCCACTGTCATCATATTCATCAGTCATTCATGTTTTCAGATAATTTTTATAGATTTATTAACTCTTGATAATTACGTGTGCTTCTTTCAATCCTCTTTTACATTTTTTTATATTTTAAAATCATTAATGACAAGTAATTCTTTATAAACTGTTTTATCATAAAAACATATTAAATGAATTCCTGAATAGAAAGTGGTAGTTTTTTTTATTGAGAGAGAGAGGGGGGATAGACTTGTCTTGGAAATGTTACTGGATTGGATATTCCGATAAAAAAAAACTCATAAGATTTTCATCTTATATGTAATTAAAATAATTGTGTCGCCCCATTCGTTGAAGACAAATAGACTGATCCAGTGGTATTGCATAAGAAATCGCATGTAACAAGCAAATTCAAAGAATTGTGGTCTCCGGCTTTAGGTGTCTTTGTGGGTGAGATGTCATTTTTTGGCACATTGTGTGAAATTTAAATATGTCATTCAGAAGGTATGATTTAAAAGGACTGTCGAAATATACAAATACGTCCTAACCTAATCTAGGTAAACAATAATCAAATGGTGAATCAATACAACAATCGGAGGCAAGTAACAACAAATTATCTGGTAGACCAATTAATACTAAAACAAAAGCCCAGTCGCCCTCGGACGACCGCATATACTGTAGGATGCCTTATTCAGGACGGACAGTATATGTGATAGCCCTTCAACCACTACACCCACTGTAGGATGCCTTATTCAGGACGGACAATGAGTATAGCGGCCTGGACGACGGACTGGTCAGCCAATGCAGACGAATAAAAGGCTAGCCTCTTTACTTGAGGTTAACCTCTTAGTGGCAGGCCTTATAACTGGTTTGTATAACCTCAATGGCCTTCCAAATATCCTCTCAAACTGAGCGAACACAGGCGAGGAGTTAATAAACTTACACTCGTCTTCTTTCTTTGGCTGAGCTCTCTTCGGCTGAAGCATCAACAATGGCACAGACGACTGCAAAGTCTCGGTAAATATACCCTATCAAAGTCATGTTATGTCAACAATGACTAACTGAAAACTCTGCATGGTCATACCTTAAAATTACGGAATCATCACAATACCCATGCCTCCGATGACATGCGCCCCGTATGTACAACTTAAATAAACTGATAATTGTATAATTTAGAAAAAGGTTTAATAAACAAACATATTTAACGTCATATACAAAGAATTCCTTTCTTTTGTAATCTATAAGCATATATACAACTATGTACAACTATGTGCACCAAAAGTAAGTGAAATTCAGTCTTCTCCTTAACCACTTCTTCAATATCAATGTCACCCTCACGAAATTTCTTGACACGCTTGGTAGACGATGGTCTTCTCATAAGCCTCAGTCTGGATTCCGATGTCCACCATGGGTCTCTTTCTCTTACAACTGTCACATCTGGAGTCTTGAGTGCCTTCGACTTCTGATTTACTAGTTGAATGAGGAATCTTCACTTTTGGAATGTGCGGTTTGGTGGGTGCTGTTTGTTTCCTTACGACTCTACCCTCCAACAGCTTATCGTTAATGGCTCTTTCCTCTTTCTGTGATGGGGAATCTTTTGACTCTTCTTCATTATCACTACTATCAGTAGACAGAGTGCCAATAACGTCCCCATAGACTCCCCTGATTCTTCTTCGTCTTTATCCACACTTTCACGACAAGTTGCCTCTCTGCCCTTATCAGGATTACCATCAAGCTTGATAGGCTCCTCAATCAGGCCAAGGTGGGCTCTTTTCTCATGTCTCTTGACATTTATCTCCTTATTGCTTGAGTAGCTGCAAAAGGTGCAGTTAAATGTTCTCATAGCGCACTGTAGAACGTGACTTTTGTAGTCCTCTTCCGATCTTGCCATACAGGTGCACATGGGGCATCTACGACATTTCCTTGGAGTAACTTTTGTCTTCACCATCTACAATATATGAAAAAAAATATGCATTACAGGTTTACAATATCTGTTATGAACTGTAAGCATAGTATCATTACATATCAGTCTCGAAATCATGTAACCAGATTGGTGGTCTACGAGCTTTCCTTGGACGATTATTGCTTGATGGATCAATAGCGGAGGGAATATCATCAAAACTTGCATGATGATCTGAGTCAAAGCTGTCTTGACCATCAAAATCATTCCTTAAATCATCAGTTTCACAGTTCAATATGTTATCATTTTCACCTGATAGAACTTGCATACGCTTTTTGCGCATTCTATCTACATGAATGACTTGTTCTGAACCCCTTGGTCCACAATTTACAAGATATGTCAAATCTGACATCTTTTTCTTAACCTTGTAAGGACCCTGCCAGAAACTGGTTAACTTGGGCGATGTTCCAGGTTTCCTTCTTGGGAAATAAACATACACCTCCTCGTTGGGTTCAAACTTTTTCCACATCAACTTGCGGTCATGATAATGCTTTTGTCTCACCATTGACTGATTCATTTTGGCCCTAACAAAGGAGTGAGCCTTCTCCAGACGTTCCTGCAACTCCCATACCCATTTATTGCTTGGCGTGTCTTTTATTTAAGGTGGCATCTCATCTTGGAGATCCAATGGTGTACCAACTTCCCTTCCAAACATCATCATGTTTGGTGTCATGCCAGTAGTTTCGTGTACTGAACTGCGGTAGGCCATCATAATGAAAGGTAAGTGCACATCTCAGTCATTATGATGATCATTTACAAACGCACTGAGCATTGTTGTGAGCGTTCTGTTAAAACGCTCAACCATCCCGTCTGACTGGGGATGGTACGGGAAGGTATGCGTTGTCTGGATGTCCAGTAATTTACACATTTCCTTGAAGAGAGTACTTTCATATTGTGGTCCTTGGTCTGAATGAACCACAGCTGGTACTCCAAATCTTGTGATAACCTCCTCAACAATCTTTGCTGCTACTGTGGACGCTTCCATATTATGTATTGCAAAACATTCAGTCCACTTTGTGAAGTAGTCTGAAACTACTAGGATATATCGATTTCCATTGGCAGTCACAGGGAGCTCTCCAAGAAAGTCAGTGGCAATTCTTTCGAATGGATAGCCAGAATACACCAACTTCATTGGAGCCTTGTTGCTTGGGATTGGTGCTTTCCGTCTAGTACATACCTCGCAACCAGCAATGTAGGAATGTACGTCTCTTTGCAGACCAGGCCAATAATAAGACTTTCGTATTCGGGCAAGTGTTTTGTGAATACCAAGATGGCCTGCAGATCTACAATCGTGGCAGTGCTTTAACACGGTTCTCCTTTCACCACTGGGAACAATGGCTTGTAGAATATCTTGCCTCGTAGTCAAATCAGTCCATTTCCTGCAGAGAACTTCATCATTTATAACAAGCCTGTCCCACTGGGAACAAAGAGACTTCACAGTGATCGACTCTGATGACACATCTTTGCTTGGCCTATCTTTGAGTGATAACCAAGCATTGACTTTTGATATGTCTTTGTCGTCATTCTGTAGGCATTTCAACGGCTTTTGCTGAAACATCTGTTCATCCACTTTGGCACTACAGATACTCATGTGGTCAGTAATACAATGCTCAGCCTTACATTGTTTACAAGGTGCTCGACTAAGACCATCCGCATTGCCATGCAATCTTCCCGGTCGATGTTCAATGGTAAAGTCATACGTAGAGAGAACATCCATCCATCGGGCAAGCTGTCCCTCAGGATCTTTAAAGTTCATTAGCCACCTGAGTGAGCTATGATCTGTACGTAACGCAAATCGACGACCATACAAGTAATGCCGAAAGTATTTCACAAAATGAACGGCAGCCAATAGTTCCTTCCTTGTAACACAATATTTCTTTTCAGATTTTGTCAGACTCCTGCTTGCAAAAGCAATAGGCCGCTCAATACCGTCTTGCATCTGAGACAACACTGCACCGATAGCAAAACTGCTGGGATCAGTGTCCAATATAAACCTTTCATTGAAATCTGGATGGGCCAGGACTGGTGATGTTGACAATTCTTTGCGAAGTAGATCAAATGCTTCCTGGCATTGGTCACTCCAAATAAAATGTGCTCCTTTCTTTGTTTAGTCATGAAGTGGCTTAGCTATTAATGCAAAGTTTGCTACGAAACGCCTGTAGTAGCTACAGAATCCAAGGAATGACCTGAGCTCCGATACATTGGAGGGAACTTCCCATTCTTGCACAACCTTTATTTTATTTGGACTTGTGGCGATCCCCCTCTGGGATACAATATGTCCCAAATATTCTACCTCTGTAGCAAACAATGTGCACTTTCTGGCTTTCAACTTAAGGCCAGCTGCTACTAAACGGTCGAACACTTGAGTAAGATTTTCAATCATACCATCTACTGTTACGCCTACTACAATGATATCATCAAGGTATACAAGGCAAATTTGCCATTGCAGACCTCTCAAGAACGTTTCCATCAATCGCTCAAAAGTCGCCGGGGCGTTGCAAAGCCCAAATGGCATGACTTTGAAATTGTATAGGCCCTTTCTGGTTGCAAACGCTGTCTTTTCTCTGTCATGGTAAGCCACTTCAACCTGCCAATACCCGGCGTTAAGATCTAATGTTGAAAAATATTTCTTCCCTGATAACTGATCCAGGGAGTCATCGATTCTTGGGAGTGGAAATGCATCTTTAATGGTAACATTATTTAACTTCCTATAGTCGACGCAAAACCTTGTCGTCCCATCCTTCTTCTTTACTAACACGACTGGGGATTACCATGGACTTGTACATTCCTCAATTATTTCCCTTTTCAGCATATCATCGATATGACGGTCCGTGTCCTCTTGCATATGAATAGGCATGCGCCTTGGAGGCTGTTTAATTGGTGTGGTTGTTCCAGTATTAATGGTATGCTTGGTAACTTTTGTTTGACGTAAATCAGCATCTGAGGCAGCGAACAGGTGTGAATACTTCAAAAGCATGTTTTTAACACCCTTGGCATTATCTGCTGTCAATCCTGTAACTGACCTTGCGTACAAATCCTTGAGATGGTCAGGCAATTTTCTCTTATTGTCCTTTAAGTAAATGGTCTTATCATAGACGTTCTCAATGTCAGACAAAGTAGCTATAAACATTCCTTTATATAAAGTCTGTGGTTCTGCAGAAGGATTCATCAGTCTAACGGGGGCTACTTTATTGCCTTCTACGAACGTTCTGGCCACTAAACCTCTATCAGATTCTAAAAAACAATCAGACAA